CACCACTATAAGGTCTGTTTCATCAGATTTCAGGAAATCCTACTTAAAGCATAGCAGTTGCCTCAGCAGTCCCCTGGTGACTACCCAACTGCTGAGCACACTACTCACACAAAAGTATTTCCTTTGAACATCTAAACTTCACCAGACCTTCACAATAATCTCACCAAGGAGTCTGGTTAAACTGATCTCTGAACCTTAAGCTGAAACCCAGCAGGTGCCTCAGTAGTTCCCTCATTACCACTCAACTGCCGAGACCACTGCTCCAGTAAAACTCCCACTTACTCTTACTAAAGCACATCTTCAAAAAGCCCTGATAACCCTGAGCAACACTATATAATCAATCTTCTCATACCTTCACTTTTACTTAAGCAGGTACCTCAGCAGTTCACTGGTTACTACCCAACTGCTGAGACCACTGCTCTCATTAAGGTTGATTATCAATCTACCTTGTTACATCTTCAGAAATCTCTTCTCTTTCTAAGAAAGATTCTGCTTACACTTTCATCACACAATTAATATTTCTTCAGCAGTTGCCTCAGCAGTTCACTGCCATCCAGTCAACTGCCAAGCCAACTGCTCACTACATAAAGTCCAAACTTCATCCATCATAGAAAGTTGTTATACACTATTTATCTAAGAGGTTAAAGACTTCCGATGTGCATCTATAAATCTCCCAAAAGACTATAGATCAACTCATCTCGAAGGGAAAAGTTTTTAAAGTTGAAAAAGCTTTAAAAGTTTATTCACCCCCCTCTAGACTTTTACCTCTATCCGGGACCATCAAGTGGTATCAGAGCGGAGTGTTCCTAGAGTCAGTTTCTGACTAATTTGAACTAAAATGGACAGTCAGCTAGCAAAGAACCTTTTGTTCAACTTGAAAAAATTTGATGACTGGAAGATCAGGATGAAAGCACATCTTAGTGCTCTACATGATGAAATGCTAGAAGTGATTACAGCTGGATCTATCAAAATCATGAAGGTCAGCACATCTAAAACTGATGATGAAGAGGATGTGTACATTCCAAACCCCAAATTAGAATGGACAACTCAGGACAGGAAGAGAAACAACTTTGACAACATTGCCAAGGACATTCTTTTCAAATCTGTTGATGAATCCATATTTCCCAGAATCAGGAAATGTGAAACTGCCAAGGATGTCTGGTATGAGCTCACAAAGATTGGAGCAGGAGATGAACAGGAGAAGGATAATAAATTGACCATAGCCCTCAAGAAGTTTGAGGACTTTAAAATGCTGCCAAATGAATCTATCAATGAGATGGAGTCCAGATTCCTGAAGATTGTGGCAGAGGTCTCTGACCTAGGGAAATAACTATCTCAAAAAGAGATTTCCCTCAAGGTCTTGATAACATGTCCTCAAAGTGGGACATGAAGGTGAATGCTATGAGAGATAGCAGAGATCTAAGAATCTTGTCAACTGACAAGCTCTTTAGTGACCTCAAGGCCTATGAGTTTGAGATGAAAGAAATCAAGGATGAAAAGGAAGATGAATCCAAGACACTAGCCTTAGTGTTTGAGCCTAGCACTTCAAGATCAAATGAAAAATCCCTCAACAATCTCCTCACTGATGAGCAATTTGCTATGTTCGTGAGGAAGTTCAAAAGATTCATGAGAAAGGAGGGAACTGCCCTAAAGAAGCCATACAATATGCCACCCAGGAGACAAGGGAGACCTCAATCCAATGAGGACACTGTCCTGTGCTACAACTGTAGACAGCCAGGATATTACAAAAATGAATGTCCTCTGCCATTGGCACAAAAATACCAAGGGCAGCAGGCAACTGCTCAAAAAGCTGGATACAAGAAGGACTTCAAAGGCAAAAGACAAGCCTTTGTAAGCGAAAAGAGAAAGGAGGAATCCCAAAGTGATGAGGAGAGCAGCTCAAGTGATGAAAGCTCCTCATCTGAAAGCTCAGAAGAAGCACTTCTCTGCCTGGGATCCTGGCAGATGGCCGAAGAGAACGACAGTTGGCTCACTGGAGAAAGCAGCAGATGGCTCAGTGAAGATGATGAAAGATGTTCCCCCATATGCTTAATGGCCAAAGACCACTACAATGATGTTGAGGTAACATCCTGCTCTTCCTATAGCTCTAGTGATTCTGGACCAACCAATGTCCCACTAGAATCTTTATTACAAGATTTCCAAAAAGTCCAAGATCACCATGTTCTCTTAAGATCAGAAAATGAGAGATTAAAACAAGAATTTAAGGCCATTCATACTAAGTTGTTAGATGCCTTAACCAAAAACAATGTCTTAGAGGAAGAGACCAAAGAGCTGATAAACAAATTGAATAACTTCAGCATGGATAGTAAAAGCAGTGACCCTACTGCTGAAGTTGTTCTAACTAGGAAGAGAAGAGGAATCGACTATGTATCTCCCACCAGACTCACTCAAAACTCACCCTCTACAAGCCATCAACAGAATACAAGAAAGCCAATATACCAAAAGACTCATTCCCAGAATGTCCCCACAAGAAGGAATCTGCCTGCTCCCAGATCAAAATCCAAATCCCTGTATAACCAAAAACTTCTCACCCATCAAAACCCAAGAACCCGTTGGCAACCAACCAATAAGACCAACCACAGTCAAAACACTAAGC